AAACCTGACCCAGGACTGGGAGGAATCTGGACCAAACCTGACCCAGGTGCCCGCTCTGGTTTCTGGCTTTGAGTCAAAGAGGATGAAACTGGTGCTGCATCTGTGTTGTGGGTGAGGTTTAAATATGTTGGTTTTAGGGGTGAAACTGGGTTACTTATGGATCCTGGGTCCAAAATGGTCTGTGGGGTTGAAACTGGGGTAAGGCTTGGTAGAACAATATCTGGATGTTGAGTAAGATCAGAGCATGATGGTTCTTGGGTAGGGGTTGGAGGTGCCACAACTGGCACCAAGCTAAGATTCTGGTCTTGGTTAAGGAGGATGGCAGAGGTTGTTTTGAAGGCCAAAGTTCTGTGAACATCAGGAGACGGTGCTGATGCTGGGCTACAAGGAACACTGGCTGGATTCATAGTTCTTGTTAAACTGAGAGTTTCAAGGGTTTGGGTGGACTTACAACTTTCAGACCAGTTAGCTGTTGGCGTAGGAGGTCCCGACACACTTTCAGTCCTCGTGACTTTGATGGATGGGAGTGGCGAGGCATCGGCACTTGGACTTGGGAGTGTACTGGAGCTACCTGCGCTGATGACTGGAGTTTGTGATGCAGTGTCAACCTGTAGGCGTGTGGGAGATGTTTCTGCGACAGGATGTGCGAGCCCAGTGCCAGGTGAAGACAAGCGCTGAGGTGAGGCAGCCTTGGTAACAGTCCGGCTAGGAAGTGATGATTCCTTGGCATTTGGTTCCTGAGCTCTGGCGGCTTCGGCCTCTTCGATTTCAATGACCACCGCGTCAGTTTGTCTCTCTGAGAAAAATCGTGTCTCGTTTGCCTCCAAGCAACTTGCAGCAGCTGCTATGGTCTCCATGGTGACATCAAGCGTGAGGGGTGTGGCTTCGCTGGGCGTGGAGGCGTGGCTTGTGTCTGTCTCGTAGGTGATGGGCGCCGATAGCGAGGAGCTACATGGAGAAGAGGGGCAGCAGGAGTCGCAGGAACAGCTGGAGCTGCAGGAAAGAAAAACAGCTTGGTTCCAGACATTGTAACCGTTTCAACACAACCTGTTAATATTTAATAAAACTGCTTCCTGTGCGGAGAACAAGAAAAAGAGCAGCTTCCTTTGATGCTAATTATCAATAGAAGATTTACTATTTCCTTTAATGTTAAATAATGAGAACTAGAACCGCTTCGGTTCCCGTGGCAGCGGGAGGACTTCACCTGTTGTCGGAGCTGAGGGAGGAGGGTCCATCACTGAGGGGTCGGTGGAGCAGCGGGCCGTGTTGCGTGAGCAGATGGGGATCAGCAGCGCGTGGAGGCTGCGGGTAGCGTGGGGTGGTGAACACAGAGCTGTAGGGCGGAGGAGGGGTGGAGGGTTGAGCTGCGACCTCCTCGTAGGACGGGAGCTTTAGAGAAGCCAGGAAACCTAAAGACAGGACGGGACCTTCAACCTTCAGACAGTCTGCGTAGTTACTGATCAAGACCCTGAAGTGTGACGAGTCGCGCTGCTCAGGGAAAACGTGAACAGCGGAAACACAGCGCACGTTCTGCTCACAGATCTAATCTTCTTCTGTCGGCTGCTCCTTCTTCAGGGTCACCACAGACAACTAGACCTGACAATTGTTGTTACGCCAGATGTTCTTCCTGACACGACCACCGAGCTGCCACCGCCTCTGTGTGGAGCAGATGGTGGGGGTTAAGAGCCTTGCTCAAGGGCCCAGAGTGGAGGCAGGTGTGGGTGCTTCACCTTTCTCACCCACTATTTTTAATGTTGTTGGTCCGGGGAATTGAACCAGCGACCCTCCAATCACAGACCCACCCTCTCTAACCTCTGCGCCACCACTCCCCCAGAACTGTGATCTAATCAAAATGTTTGTATAATTCTCATCCCGTCAGGATTTTCTTACGTTGCTACTTTTACACGTTTCAAATTAGAAAATCTTGACTGGAGTAAAATATTCAAGGTTTCCGAGGAGAAGCCGGCCCAGGAGCCGAATGGCTCGTTTAATTCTGGGACCATGTCAGCGAGGTGCACAGCGCCTCCGAGTCGCCACGAGTTAGAAAGCATCAGATCAGCAGCAGCTGAGACACGAGCCGGACTTGTTGGACTCCCAGCAGCTCTCGCGCAGGTTCAAACAGAAACCTGCAGACTACTTGGAGTCCAAACGACGATACGTTTCTGACGGCAGCTGCGAGAACTTCCAGTAAACCAGAGGACAGACTCACTGAGGTCCAGCATGGACGAGGGGAAGGAGCTGGCTCCGTGGTAGGCCAGCAGGCTGATCTCTCGCTGCCTCTGCTGCTGCTGGACCCGGAGTTTGGCTCGGCGGTGTCGGTACGCACAGCAGCAGCTGAACAGGATGAGGACGGTCCACAGCAGCCAGAACCCTAATTCAAACACAGCTGGGTCAACGTTCAGAACACGGAGCCGCTACAAGACGACCGTGGAAACTGCTGAACTTGAGCCTCGTCAAACTTACACCACAGCTCATAGTAGTACGTGCAGCAGCCGGTCTCCCCGCAGCAGTGTCCCGTCTCACACAGGTAACCACCGTTAGCGTTAGCTCCAGGGCAGTACCGCGGTCTCCCCAGCAGGGGCAGGCTGCCACCGGAGTGGTACTCCATCGCACCCCCGCTCCACCGACACTCAACCACCAGCCACCGCTACCTGCTCACCTGGAGCCGCCGAGGAGCCGTTAGCTGCCGAAGGCCTCGATCCTGGTCACTGTCCACCTACATGTTGGAGCGACTGATTCCTGTCTGTGAAAGGCTAGCTGCTAGCTGTTAGCTGCTAGCTGTTAGCTGCTAGCTGCTAGCTGTTAGCAGCCTCAGAAGAGTTAGACCAGTCTACATTCTCAGGTGAGGCGCTCGTGTTTCAGCCGCAGGACGGTGAAGATGACGGTGAAGATGACGGTGAAGATGCTGTTAGCCTGGCAGCCTCCGAGTCATGTGCTCTTCAGACGTTACTACGACTAAACACCAGAAGAACTGCAGCAGCCGAGAGCTCGGGCTGCTTGGACGGGACCAGATGACGGGACCAGATGACAGGACCGGATGACGGGACCGGATGACGTAGGCCAGTAGGACGTCTCGAACTGCAGAGACACAGAAAACAACGGTTTACTGATAAACAACAACAACAACGCAGTGTGAGCCCCACAGCCTCTACGACAGGCCTGTTTAACATTCACCACCGCCGGTTCAACACACACACACACACACTCACACACACTCACACACTCACACACACTCACACTCACACACACTCACACACTCACACACACACACTCACTCACACACACTCACACACTCACACACTCACACACACACACACACACACACTCACACACACTCACACACACACGCACTCACACACACACACACTCACACACACACACACTCACACACACACACACACACGCACGCGCACACGCACGTTTCCATGAACTACAGGCGAACCAGTGAACTGAAGAGCCGTGTTTTATTGCAACAGTTCTTCAGACAGAAAAATAAAATCACTTCAGATCAAACTGTATTTTATATTTACAGCTGTACACAATAACGTGTACAAACATGTGAACAGTCCAAGTAGTTTAAGCTACAGTGTCAGTGAAATATAATAAAAATAAAAATGTAAACTATGTTCATAAGCTTCAGATGATGTGAGAGTCAGCTCAGTGTATAATCCAAACCTTTATTTTGAAGGGCTGTAGGTTTCTGGTTTATTTAGCAGTTTATTCAGACTTTCAGCTGCAACAATAATAAAAACCAGAACAAACAGAAGCACAAATTAATCTGATGAAAAAACTGTTGGGGCATTTATTTCAACTTTAAATATATATTTTCACTTTAACCGTTTAAAAGTTTTAAATAACTTCCTGGTATTTTCCCTCTGAGCGGCTCTAACAGACCATCACAGTTTTATATTAAAAACACCGTTTGGAAAAGATAGAAATCTTTAAAAATGAATAAAATTCAAAAATGAAAAAGTATAAAATAATTTATTTTAACTAAATATTTACTTCTTTGATAATATTTTGTTTTTCAAACTGTTGACGCGTCACATCCACAAAGTTAGGCTCTTTATTTATCCATAAAATATTTAAACGTCACCTGTTAATAAACACAAACATGGAAAGTTCAGTCGTCGTGAACATTTATGGTTCTGTGGGACGTGCAGCAGACGGGAACAAGCTCCCTGCAGGCGCAACCTGCTGAGCTCTGAAGTGTAGAGAGCGGCATCGGCCACGGGGCCTCAATTAAAGCATCCAGAGACCTGGGTCCGGCCCGACACAGTACTGCAGCGTTAGCACCTCCAGCTGGCACACAGACCGACACATTCCAGCTGGCACACAGACCGACACACTCCAGCTGGCACACAGACCGACACACTCCAGCTGGCACACAGAC